CGCCGGACGCGGGAGGCAGAAGCAGGGGCGGGTTCAGCGGCGCCCGGGGGAGGACCCGCCGCCCCCGGGCCAGTGCGGAGTCTCCGGCGCCGGGTTACGTAATGCCCCTGCTGAGGCTCGGAGGAGTTCTGACCCTGCCCACCGGTACGGCTCGGTCGGTTCGCGGTTTGCACCGGCTTGAGGCGGTCATCGAATTATGCCCCCACTTCTTTAAAGGCAAAAGGAGTTTATTTACAGGCTTCATCTGAAAGTATCTTTTCACTCTGCAGTTCGGATCTAGTTGAAAGCGGATTTTTAGAAACAAAAGTGAATGAAACTTTAGCACCATTCTAAATTCAGAGGAAGGAAAAAGTGCTAAGAGCAACGGAAACCTGTTCGTTGCGTCAAAATTGTTAAAGGGAATGACGCTCTCAATTATGGAATTGTATTTGTGACGGTATTCCTATTTTAAATATTCTTTCACAGTTTCAGAAATAACACGCCTTCCCAATAATGAGTCTGTCCACACACATAAGAGATTAATTAAGGAAAAACTTTTTAATAACGCATGTCCTGCTGGGTTATCACCCATGCAAGAGCCAGCCTTCATCGGGAGCTCTACCTAAATTATGTACATTTTAGGCTTGTGCGTTCCGCAGACACTGTCATCCTGAAATCTCTTTTCGGTTTCGGGTCCCAGGTTACACTCCGAACAATTAAAACAGAGGCAGGAGATTGCAAGTCTGGCCACTTAGGCAGATAGGAGATTTACACAGCAAAAAAATACTACATATTACCAGGATTATTGTAAGTATGCCACTGTTGTTCTTCTTTTTTCGAATAATCGTTTCCCTGGTCATCTTTCCCACCTGACAGAATTACGTTTTCCCTGATGAGAGCTCAGGGGAGTAAATGGCAGACTAGGACTTAATGATACCTGTGAACCTGTGCTGCCTGCTGCCTTGATTTGTGTTTGGGTGTGGGAATCTGGGCGTGACTGCTGGTCATAAATCGGTGCTGTCTCCTTTGCCATGGGAATGGAGTCTAACTGGCTGGGTCAGTCCTGGTGAATAAGCCACTGTACCCTAGCATCCTAAATTCCCCTTATCAGAACAGGCACGTTTGCATAACTGCACTGCCTGTCTTTGGGTTCTTTTGGAGGCAGTGCTCTAGCTAAGTTTGGTTTGTGTCAATGTCTCCTAAGCAAACCTATTAGGAAGTCCATTGTCACATCAGTCTTAGTACTTTGAGTTTCACCTACATCTTCACAAGACAGGTGCCTTCAACAGGTGTGGCTGACTTCAAAGCTAAGGCCCACCTCAGGCTGTCATTTCTCATCTGACAAATAATGTAATTTGGCTCATGTTGATGACATGTGAGGTGTTTAATAGATGACTATAAGCAGATTGGCCAGTGGAAAGTAGCCAAGTGTGGACTATAAAATTCTCAGATCTCAAACTAGAAAAGTTCTGTCAGCTGTCATTGTTGTGTGGTGACTGTAGGCAGTTAGTCTGCACGAGCTACTTGTTTGTACATAAGTTAATCTGCTAAGGCAGTTGATGATTTTTTGTTTGTTTTGTGTTTCAAGACAGGGTTTTTCTGTAGCTTTGGTGCCTTGGTGCCTGTCCTGGAACTAGCTCTTGTAGACCAGGCTGGCCTCGAACTCACAGAGATCCGCCCAACTCTGCCTCCCAAGTGCTGGGATTAAAGGTGTCCACTACCATTGCCTGGCCTCAGGCGGTTGGTTTTTATGATCCCGGTTAGTTTTTCTTTCTCTCATTGTAGTGATAGGTTTTCAGTATCTACCCAAAAGTATATAAGCGTTAACTTAAGAGAAAAAAAAAAACTGACGGCGTTGGTTGTCTTTGGTTAAAAATAAATAATTAATTGACAGGAAATAAAAATGGTCTATTAGAGTAATAGCAAAGTATCCAGTATCAAGGCAAAAATCTATTTCAGTATGCTCTTTTCCCATGAATATACTTTTTTATTTATTTATGTATATTTTGGAATAAACTTTTTAAATCCAGACAAAGTATGTATTCATTGTGTATATATAAGGGTGGGCTATTGAGGTCAGAGGACAGCTTGCGGAAATCTGTCCTCATTCCACCATGAGTCTCAGACATCAAACTGAGGTGGTAAGGTTAATAATGTCAGTTCCCTTTACCTGCTGAGCCAGCTCCAGAGCCCAGTTTTTACATATTTTCTCTTTTTCAGTCATCAACAATTTTTTATTTAAAGTTGATTATATGTGGTTTGGGAGATTAGGGTAAGTAGCAGCTTATTGTTTTTTTAAGTTTTTTTTCTTTTGTTTGTTTTGATTTTTTTGGTTTTTGTTTTATTTGGTTTTTCAAGGCAGGGTTCCCCTGTGTAGCCCCGACTGTCCTGGAACTCACTCTGTAAACCAGCTGGCCTCTAACTCAGAGATCTATCTGCCTTTGCCTCCTGAGGGTTAGAACTAAAGGTATGTGCTACCACCACCCAGCTAAAATGTTAAAATAAACATTTAAACATAAAAATAAACATAAAAAGTGCTAAGCTTTGTGCTCGTGATCTTAGCTCACAGCAGCTAGAAATGGTGATGCCAACGCTTGGGTGCTCCACAGACTTGAAATTCCCCTCCCTAAATTCACTGATGTGACCAGCTTCATACAAAATAGAGACAAATATAATAATGAATGCCCTTACACCACTTCCCAATAGTCTTTGTTCTGTCTGAATCTCTGTATCATCTTTGTTCTTTATTTTTAAAGGTAGAACTGCTAGTTGAGTTCTTATAGCATCCCAGAGCTTCTATAGCGCACATCTCCAAACTCTTCCACATTCCTCCTGTGAATCAGTTCCAAAAGCCTAAGAGCCATAGGTCAAGTTTAGTGATGACAACAACCCCACTCTTGGTACTAAGTTTCTCTATTACTTTCCTCATCACCTTGACCAGATACTTGACGAAAGGTTTAAAAAAGGAAAAACTGCTAGGCTATCGTGGCACCCAGCATTCAGAGACAGAAGCAGGCAGATCTCCATGAGTTGAGGCCAGCCTGGCCTACAGAGAGAGTTCAGCAGGATAGCCAGGACAACACAGAGAAACCCTGTCTCGAGAAACCGAACCAAAAAAAAAAAAATGTGGGAGGGAGTTTGACTCATGATTTCAGATGATTTGGGCCTCAGTTGACCCCATACTCTTGGGCAAAGCATTATGGTAGCAAGAGTGTGTGTACTTCATGGCTTGCCAGGAAACATCCAGTTATAATACACTCTGTAAGAACATACACCAGTGACCAACAACCTTCATTTCTGTCTTACCACCTAAGGAATGCTACCATTTGAGAATGAAGCCTTCATCTCAGTCCACTACATGTGACTGATTCTGTTTATTTGGCTGCTGTAATAATGTTGCCATGAACAGAGGCTTACAGTCAATGACTTGTTTGGGGTCTGTAACTAGAAATGGACTGGCTGCGTCCTGAGGCACTTCATTCTCTTTTCGGTGTTTGATTAGCCTAATTTTTGATAACATGGTTGTTCTTCCTCCCAGAAAAGATCAATTCTCAATTTTCTATGGAAATAATGTTATGCTGGGTGTTTTGAAAAGTTAAATGTTGCTGGGCGGTGGTGGCATGCACCTTTAATCCCAGCACTCATAAGACAGGCGGATCTCTGTAAGTTCAAGACCAGCCTGGTCTACAAGAGCTAGTTCCAGGATAGGCTCCAAAGCTACAGAAAAACCCTGTCTCGAAAAAAAAGGAAAAAAAGAAAAGTTAAATGTTTCTGAAATACATGAAACTTAATATCAATCAGAAATTTGTCAGATTTATAAATAACTTAGACTTTAAATATGTGTTAGTGATTGGTTTTTAATGTGTTAATAAAAGGTAATATATATATATATATATATTTACAGTGAGGCAGCAAATCACCTAAATATCCTAAGTTTTTATAAGAAATTTTTACCTAGTTGGGCAGTGGTGGTGCTCGCTTTTAATCCCAGCATTCGAGAGGCAGAGGCAGGAGGATCTCTGAGTTCGAGGCCAGCCTGGTCTACAGAGCGAGTTTCAGGACAGGCTCCATAGCTACTAAGAAACTCTGTCTCAAAAAACAAATAATAAAAAAAAAAAGAAGAAGAAGAAAAGTAAAGTATTGTTTTGTGACTTTTTTGCATTAACATTTTCAACTGCATATTGTTTTCCTCTAGGCTGGAGGCAAAGCTGGGAAAGACAGTGGGAAAGCCAAGGCTAAGGCAGTGTCCCGCTCACAGAGAGCTGGGCTGCAGGTAATGAATGATCCATTCTGTCAGTTTGTTGTTTTCTTTATTTTTGTAATTCATGACCCAGAGATGGTTTATTGATTGCAGAAATGTCCTTTTTTTATAATATACCTTGAATGTGAGAGTAACTAGTTAAGACTTAAATTACAAAGCAAGCCATTAGTTTGTATTTTATAAGAGAACAGGATATCTTAACAAATTTGTTGATTTCCCCCCCCCATTAGATTAGTATCTGTTCTTGGACCTGGAAAGCAAAATTAACAGTTAAGAATGTGTGCTACTCTTGTAGAACAGCTGGGTTCGGTTCCCAGCACCCGAATTAAAAGGGTCACAGCTATCTGTGACACC